ATCCAGATGGCTTAACAGGTCCTTAACTGTTCCCTGTTGGATTATGAGGAGAGAGATATATATATAGATATATAATAATATTATGATATATATATTACGTTGTTTTTTTCTTGTGAGGAGATATATATATATATACACTACTCAGAGCAGAAAGGTTCTGCCCATACAAAATTAAGAAACTGTTTCTGCTCATTGCAGTGATGGTACATGTTGTGAAATGGAATGGAAGCTAATAAATTCAATGCTTGGACAGACATGCTCTTCTGGATCTAATGAAAGTAGCTTTAGAAGCTATTACTCCTCTGCAAGAGACTGCCACCTCACAGAGAAGACATCATAACCTTTCATGTGAATACATTCTGTTTCAGTACAAAACCAGGGTAGCTTAGAGCCCTTTCAGCACTGTCCACCATAGGTGTGGATTTACTTGACAAATGAGTGATTTTTTTTGCATGAAATGCTTAACATAGTTAAGCAAGATCTTGAGTCATGGCAGTCTTCACAAGTCCCGATAGTAGGCTGACAGCCCTCAAAAACAAAATCTGTGGATTCCACACTTACGTGGCAAATTAAATAAATCATAAATAAATCTGGCAATATGCCATTAGGCCCACCTGTTTGCATGTTCAGTCACTCCTGTGAATGCAAAAGTCAGAGTAAAAGCTGCCTTTGCCAAATAACTTATATATCTCTTCAATGAGAGAAATTTAAAATACAGTGCTCGGACAAGTACCCAAGTACATTCCTAATTCTGTATTTAATGAAGAACAGTAAGAACACACAACTCCTGCCAACATGCCTCTTGATCAACTAGCTTAAACAATTGAGCTCCTAACACCAAAAGAAACCCCAAGGATGAAAGCATCAGATATTTATCTCATATTAACAGCCTGCCAGCATGTATTTTCCACGAGATTTTACTGAGCTGAACATTATGGTACTCTGGAGCCCACTAGCTAGGTGGACAACAGGGGATCTTTACACATTAAGCAATCCAAAAATATTTACATCTAGCTTTATCTAAACAAGCCTCTGCAAATTTGTTTTACTTCTCAAAAGGAAAAAGAATTTACCATAATTTTTAACACAAACCTCTTTTTCTTTTTTTTTCTTTTTTTTTTTTTTAAAGCTGGCTGACCTGTTACTGAACTATGAATGGCTAGTTTTTCACTGCTACACATAATATTGCCTTGGCCAAAAACATCTTTTGGGGGTCAGCTGTCTTCTCACACAGGACTTGCTAAAGAAGTTTTATGGTAAGCCAAGTCAGCGATTGAAGTCTAAACACCAGCCTCTAGCAATTGTAACCGTGAACAGCATTGTGTGTAGCACCATATAACATTCAAAACCTGAAAAGTCTGATGAGTTCATTGGTTCATTTTGTAACTCAGCACATAGATGCCAGTTCTTTATAAGTAAACACATTTATGTTGTATATTTAAAAAAAAAAAAAAAATCACCAGCATTGCAATTTTTCACCCTTATTTCTCCTGCGAGATTTTTTGGGAGCAGTGAATCCCAACACTGCATCCACTGATGAGAGGCAGACAAAGGTCAAGTAAAATATCCCACATAAATGCAAAATTGTTCATTCCTAATCAAATTCAGCACACAACTGGGTAGGAACTTGGACAGTTCATTTCCATCTGCTCCTCAAGCAAAACACCCACCTGTTCAAACCAGAGTATAAAATGGTAATCTACTATATATGTTTACATTAGAAATCCTTATTCTGAAATAACCCAAGGCTGTAAATCACAGCTATGCAATGTCCCAATCTCTGCTAATTGCAATAGGATTTGTGTAGTATTTTAGATCGTTACATCAGAATAACAGAATGCATCCTTAAGTGATCTGTTCTCTTCCTCTAGTATTGTTAGTGAGATCCCCAAGGAAGACAGAACAGAGAGAATCATTATCTGAGGAAAATGACACTCCTTGAAAGGAACAAGCGAGGTGGAAGCATTAAGTTCTGTCAGAAAACTCCACTTCAGCTGGGAAATATTCCCTCTGCTTTCTAAATCATGATTCACAGTAATGTGCATACACATTCAGAGCTAAGGAGACAATCTTATTCCCCTTATACCCTATTTCCCATACATGCAGACAACTCCTAAAGGGATAAACCAGAGTGGAGTCAGGATGGAAAGGAAGAAGTTTCTTCTCTGATCGGGTTTTATGATTCTGTAACTCCAGTGTACTGTTATTTTATGCATGGTTTGAAGCAGGGATATTGCCACATGATGACTGTGGATCCTATTTCCAGTCCAAATACAAACTGTCCAGATAAAATGTCAGGGACCTAAAACATTCATTTCTCCAAAACACACAGGAATGAAGAAACCACTTCTGCCATTTATCCAGTGAGCTTTCCTTTTAACAAATTAAAATTAGATCAGGAAGAAAAAACAATAAGAGCAGAGAGAAAAACACAAGGAAAAATGTATCTTTTTTACCTTAGCTTCAATCAGATTTTTACTGTACAGGTTCCTCTCTGTTCTCACAGCTTCACAGCGGGTTTGTTGCTGTTTTAATTTAATTGTAGACTCTGCTACTTTCTTCTCATAGTCACAGATCTGCATTTCCTGTATTTCAACATCTTTCAGGTGCTGGAGGACCTGGAGTGGAAAGAAGGAAGTGAACACGATTAAACCATCATCACAAGACTGTAAGGATGGGACAGAGTTTGTGATTTTATTCTAAGATGACAAGTTCAAATCCCTGTGTTAAGAAGTTTTAGCTACAGCTAAATATAACTTCAGTCCGAGTACAAGTTTAACCTTTCTGGATTGCTTATATGACACAACGTTATATTTTAATCTGATACCTACGTTTTGTTCAAGACTAAAACTTATAGATGTGCAGATATTTATTTTAAAAACAAGCTACTGAAAATATTGCCATTGAGTGGGTTCAATAAAATCAACATAAACAGCTTTTATCAAGAATAGCCTTAGGTTATTTATAGAGCAAAGCTAGACTTTGTGTGTTGTTTTGGATGTCAGCTGTATGATAAAATGAATAAACACACATACATTTTTCCAAGAGGACCTGCATGTACTCATATATTCTAAGAACCTAACTTTTTTTAATGAACACAGGATCACAATCTGTTGATATATAATTGCAATAATAAGAAAGTCAGTTAATGTAACTTACATTTGATCTAAACAAACAGGCAATCACCATTAGTTGCTTCTATGAAGGATTAGAAATAATGATGTGAAGATTATCTAAAGAGAATGGAGTATTGTAGACTGTAGAAAGAAGATGATCACATGCAGTATCAATAAACAAAAGTACAAAATTTTATAGACACCTCTATTAAACAATTTCCACCATAACAATACCTAAGAATTACTATGTTAAAGGAACAAAAATACAAATAGTTGCTAATCTATTGATGGGCTTCCTAATTATTTCTTTTAAATGTAAAAATCTCCCTCCTGTTGTACAAAGTCGAAAACTGAGGTGCACAAACAAGCAGTATTTAAACAGAATCCAGAATTACAAAGAAAGAAGATCAAAAGAAATAAAAAGAAAACTAAAGCGTACACACATCAAGAACATAATTTTTCAGGTTCACTGCCCGGCGGAGAAAACAATGCCACTCTTAAAGCTGGGAAAAGATCAAGCATTAAAGAAAAAGCTGAGAAATCACACGGACAAAATCCAGGAGAGAAGTCCATTTACAACTGATTTCATACCCAGTTCTCCTGGTATGACTCTGTTTTTGAAGGCAGCAGTTTGAACTAAGATTTATGTTGATATGTCAAAGCAAAAGGATAAACAAAAATGTTTACATCAAATAGTCAATAACTGCAAATTCTGCAGTCAACAATGTTGACTTGTCCCTTGTTTTAGCAGTAAAGCCTTGTGAGGTCTAGTTATGGGACAGGAGCTTAATTAATTGATCATTCTACCAGGCACCTCCAACCAACTTTGAAGATGGGGGATAGCTAAATATACAAAATTTTATTACAGCAGCAGGA